TTCATCTACCAGGTAATTAGGTACCTCTTCACACTTGCGATCCCTGTTCACCTACCAGGTAATTAGGTACCTATTTACACTTGCGATCCCTGTTCATCTACCAGGTAATTAGGTACCCCTTCACACTTGCGATCCCTGTTCACCTACCAGGTAATTAGGTACCTATTCACACTTGCGCTCCCTGTTCACCTACCAGGTAATTGCGTACCTCTTCACATTTGCGATCCCTGTTCACCTACTAGGTAATTAGGTACCTCTTCACACTTGCGATCCTGTTCACCTCCCCCCCTCCTACCAGGAAAATTAGGTACCTCTTCACACTTGCGATCCCTGTTCACCTATCAGGTAATTAGGTACCTCTTCACACTTGCGATCCCTGTTCTCCTACCAGGTAATTAGGAACCAGAAAGTTAGTCGATACTTGTGGGTTGTATCCTAGAAAAAAGTTAAGCAATAATAATAATAATAATAATAATAATAATAATAATAATAATAATAATAATAGCAATACTAATACTAATTATAATGACAATAATAATAGCAATGATAAAAATAATGACAATAATAATAATAGCAATAATAAAAATAATAATAATAATAATAATAATAATAATAATAATAATAATAAGCAACAAATTAGCAACTCCAAACAGGTGTTCTCAGTAACTATGTAACCGTAAACCACAGGAAACAGCAGCAGTGCAGAGAGAGACATTGGCCAAGACGCCGGTGCATTGAAGCCTTTCAAAGCAATGGGGATCTCATCATGTGTCTCGCTACACAAGAAATGAGAGATAATCTGCACTACCTGGCACCCCCGTCTGGAAGCTGCTATATAAGAGAGACTGGTCTGGAACCCTGCCAGCCGGCCTCTTGTGATTACCGTGATGACCCGCTGGTGATGGTGGTGGTGTTGGGGTGGAGGATGGTGATAGTGGTGGTGGAACTGAGGTGGAGGATGGTGATAGGGAAGATGGTAGCTGTAATTATGATGGTTAGGGAAAAAGAGATCAAATAGGGAAGTGGTAAAAGAGCGGGTACTTAATTTACATACTCAGATAAACAACGTCACCAGTCATACATTACCCTTCCCATTAAACAACAGATATACACTTTTTTACGATAGAAAAAGCTCCATTTCTCTTAAAACCTATAGTCATAATGCTAACTACACTAAAAGTTTTCTCTAAATCTTCACCGAGGTCTCAGCACACACCCAAGCCATCATAAAAAATCGGGATCATAAAAACTGGTAATCTTAAACGCTAATCGTAAAACTCTTGCACAAACCTGAGAGTTCTGAGCAGAAGATGATGTTGTGTAACACGTCAGCGAACCGTCACTGATCACACATTATATTTACAGGAAAGTGCCAAACCTGCATGTTCGATCCAAGGAAACTATATCTTAGATCAAGAGCCCTTCTCCGGCATCAAAGCACCTTTCCTATCATGAAGGGACAAGTGACAAGAGGGGGGGGGGAAGATTCCCCCAAAAGCAAGTGACCACAGGGTAGAAAGGTGTCAAACCCTTTGTCACCCGAGAATCGTCTCAAAATGACAAGAGTCAAGTGGAAAAGAAAATAAGTTTGAACGTCATTCAGCACTCTTGGTTTTGTATGTGAAGGGCTTAGACATCCAGCAAGTGTATCTTAGATCAGGTTATATGAAATAGCTAAAACCTTCCTTCAAAAATACAAACCATTTGCAAAGAAATGAACATCATTACGCATCCTGGAGATGCATGCCGAGCATCCATATCCTACTGAGCTCTGTTGAACCCTGCTCAACTTGCTGTCTGTCTGCCGAGCCCACTGCCCTTCTGGCAGGCCCACCGGGAACATCATTAACCAGAACAAAGCCTCGTATGTGGCCCTGGATATCACTGTGACAAGGCTAACGTAGAGCGCAGCTCATTACCCGGGACCCCAACACAGCGCGGCCACCAGCCGCCTCCCTGTGTGTTTGGCATGGAGATGGGTGAGCCACTCGTGGCCCAGGAGGTGATATAAGAAGAGAAAAGAATGAGAACGATAATTACGAGTAGAAGAGAATGAGGTGTAGCAGCAACAGCAGCAGCAGCAGCAGCAGCAGCAGCAGCAGCAGCAGCAGCAGCAGCAGCAGCAGCAGTAGCAGCAGTAGCAGCAGCAGCAGGAACAGCAGCAGCAGGAGCAGCAGCAGTAGTAGTAGTAGTGGAGAAAGAATTAGAGGA